CAAAAATATTTTCATCGAAGTGAATACTGTTGTATAAAACATTTATACATTAAGAAGTGTTAGAGCTTCAAGCTTTAATGCTCTAATAATTAGCATCTTTGACACATTCCATCCATCTTTGGAAGTCAAAGATTCCAACTTCAAAGTCACAAATTTTAAATGAAACACCCCAGAAAGTCGGAATTACCAGTCGGAAAGGCGCCGCAAAAGATGCTACCCGACTTCCGCATTCAAGATGTTGACAGTAGTTAAACTTTCCTACCATTTGTGGCAGTTCTTTTTTATATATTTAGCATTCAGTCAGTTGTTCAGTAGCAGTTTTTTCTGTTTCAAAAATAGGTATATGTACAGAATACTGGTTGGATCAGCGTTTTATCACTTTTATGTTGTAACAATGGCGGTACCAGTTATTGAGGACACAAGGGTCTACAAATGGAAAACTGGAGTACATTGACCTTGAAGATGTCGTCACTTAGACTTAGACTTTATCTTCATTTTCTACACACAGAGTGTATACAACAAGAAATTTAGTTGAGTATCGATCAAGACATTTCTATTTGAACGCACCCTTAAGATTAAATAGGTTTTAAGTCAGTCATTTGCCTTGCTACCCCACCCACTATCTTTATCTGATAACAGTATGCTTAAACTTGGTTTTTGTTGTTCCATTTCATGAATATCAGTGGGCCCCATCTGGCCACTCTTTTAAAAACTTTATGGGGGCATCACTGAATCTTCAACATAACCTAAAGCACTTTCTTTTTTGTCTTAAAGCCATTGAAATAAAAATAATTTTTAAAAAACTGTTAAAATCAGTATATTGAGTTGTGAATCTCAAGGAAAATCAACCAAATACAGAAATACAACTTTCAACTCTCAGAGTATTTGTGGGGAGGATTTAATCTAAAAAAGAACTGCCTGATTCAGAACGTTGGATAGCGACATAAAAGAGGAATAACACCAATTTACTAATAAAATGTAAAAACTATAAAACTTAATCATTCCAAGAGTAATCTGTATGATTAAAAAGAAGATAAATAATATTAACGATAATGAATGAATGCCAGGGAGGTTTCGTTTGGTTAAGTCTAATTTAAAATATTTCTCCAAGGCCATGTGACTAGATTTTCTTTAGATTTATGACACCACGTTTGACCCAGAAGTTCACCACAGGGTGCGTCTTACTAGTAACCCCTGTACTGCAGTTTGCACTCAAACTGTTTAACTTGTTTTTAAATACCACACATGGTTTCAAACATCGTGTGTAAATCAGCTAAAACTAATCACCTGGGCGCATAAATGCGACTATAATGCGAACCAAATCAAAAAAAAATTTCAAGTTGGGTTAAATCACTTTGCAGCTCGCCGTGATTTTTATACATTTATTACAAGTGATTAAAACAAACACAGGCCTGAAGTAGAACACAACCCAGACACAGAGTCTGCACCGTTCCTATGTTCCTACCCCCCTCTCTATGTGACTCATTTCTCACTCAGTCAGGCGACCTTTGGCAACAACTAAATATAATGCAGAGAAACGTGCAGCGGGAAAACTTTACCAATCCACGCATTTTGGTAAAGTTAATGACTTCTTACCTGTAATTTCAAACGGAGTGTGCAGAGTTTGCAGCGTTCCTCAGGGCAGCTGAGTGAAGGAGAAAGCGCAGCCTCTTATGGCGCATGCGCAGTGAGGCCTTCCTCTGAGGGCGGGGCTGTTGTGTAAATGTCATTGGTGAATAAACTTTTAGTGGCTGTGCTGTTATATGATAATAAACATAAGGGTTCTCTTATATAGTGGCCATATTTTAGGGTACTCTATCCGTTTGGCTATATACAACATTTCAACCGATATTAAATCGTCATTTAAGTTGGCATTAACATACAGTACTATAAAATCCAATTAAATCTTATTAATGTCACAAAATGCTGGCTATTTTCACTCCACAAATCTTATTTTAGCATCGTCAGTTCGATTACATTTAGGCTATAACATTGCACACTAACTGAAATATTTCAGGTCCTTTATTGTCTTAATGTGGAAGATTTTGGCATACATACATACATACATACATACATACATATATATATATATATATATATATATATATATATATATATATATATATATATATATTATTTCATTTTTCTTATTATTCAGCCTTTTCTGTAAAACTGCATTATGAAAACTCTTCCTTCAGAAACATGAAATGCTTAAACAGTTTGAGGTGATCTGCTGGATCACACATGTCTCAGCCTCATTGATTTAGTCTTTGGTTCATTATTGATCACTTTTGATAAACTCTAAAAACTGTTGACCAGAACCACTCAAAAAGAAACCTAGACCTGCAGAAGCTCTTACTAAGCCATTAAAAGTAAGCCACATCTTAAACTACAATCCTTAATGATCACTTGCTACCTAATAAACCCCCGCCCTCCAACAGCTGAAGGATCATTCTGTGTTATTCATGTCAGTGCACATAATGACATTGCTTATTAGTAATTCCAATGAGAAAAAGTATCAGAGGTAGCAAGTCCACCCTGTATGCCAGTGCATCCAGAAGTAAACCCTAGTAGCTCCAAAGAAAATAGGCCCTTAATGTTAGCAAAGAGTACATACAGCCTTCCAAACTATCAGGAAAATTGTACCATAACCTCAAAATCAGAACTACATAAATTTATATTGTTGCAAATATGTGTTTATATTTAATGTTTCTTGTTTTGTGTGTATATATTTGTGTTTCATCTATATAATCATGTTTTCACTAATAATGTGTACGACTCTAGATGAACATCCTCTCCTTTTGTTGTAAATCTCACAGCGCCTCAAAGGCTAATTTCATTAAATGCTCATTTAATAAGCATTATGTGAGCATATAATAGGGTCAGTTTTATAGAATTAAATTGATCTACAATGTTATTTATATAGGTAATCCTGGGTTCATACCAAACATGTTTTGAGTTTTAGATTTACAGCAGGTTAAAATGCAAGGTCAATGCTTCTGTAGAACTGGTCCTGGTACTCCTAGCCCCTTTAAAGATTTACATTTTGTCAGGTTGTGTGGAGGTTTGAAGAGGACCCAAATACAGAGATGGAAGTTGAGGTGGTTTCTTGCAGATTTATATCCAAAAGGTTTCAACAGAAGCAAAAATCCATAAACAAAATACAGAAAAAACAAAATCCAGGAGACATCAGGGAAAACACACATGATGAGCCAAGAAATTACGAGGAATTAACAAACAGTAACTGAAGAGGAGGAGTATATATGCCAAATAGAACAAAGACTAGGGTATTTAACTGACTGGGAGCTGGTGTGGACAGAAGAACCTAGAAGGGAGCTAGGGGAAAGAGACTGACACAAGAGGGAAACAGAGGGTACCGGGTAAACAACAAATACATAAGAACTCAAACTCAACCAGAAAACAACACAAAATGGAAATGAAACCAATGAAAACTCAAAAAGAAAATTAAACAGAACCAAAAAAAGCAGAATCATGACAAATTTAAGTAGATGCTTTTTTCTTTAAGAAAGTGTATTTTGATTTACGGAGATAAGATAATTTGCAGATGACACTAGATGATATTAGATGTTTAAAGTAATAATAAAAACATCTCAACTGTCTTATTTTAAGTGACAATAGAAACCAAGAGCAGAAATACCCATTCCTGTTTACCTGCTCAAATTATGGGCAAATATTTTTTTCATTTTTTTAAGAGTATTTGTACTTTTTTAGATATTTTTTGTTGTGTAACTCTAAGCCACTTCCTTATGGTGACATGCAGTGAAAGAAGTAATAATTAGTAATAAATATTGCTGCCTAGACAGTTTACTTCAACAATTATTTAGAAATTTCAATCACCTTTATGTTTTAACCACTAAAACAGGATTGCAGTTTTTGTCTGTTAGATCAGCAGAGGCGTAGCCAGAAGAGTTTTATAAGGGTGGCCAGGCAATAACCGATGTACACTGTCGGGTGGCTGACAGCGGATCGGCACCAGAACCTTAGGGTCAATCTATACTGATCCAACAGGAAATTGAACAACCACAACAAACATATTTTCCAAATAAAGACAAACTATACTTTTCTACAGCCTTTGCTAACAAATAGACGCATATAATTAAACATCCATCTAGATAAAAGGTATAGTGGATAAAGTTCTTTCAGGTTTGACTGCTGTTCGAATATCTTTTCCATTGTCATTACTTACCCACTTTTATCAATAATCATTCTGCATAAAATTGATATTTACAAGTACTAATATCTACAAAAATTGTTTACTTACTAAGCTTTTATAAGAATAGTTATTTATCTATGATTTACGTGGAGACTGACTTGCATTCTCTCTTTACCCCATAAAACACAAAATCTAGTTCTGAAAAGAGCCTGAATTCTGTATTTATCATCTTTAACGTTAGTATATTGATGTGCATAATTAACCACAGTGTTTTTGTTGTCAAGTAGACTTAGACTTTAGACTTTGGACAGATTTTATTTGTCATTTTGTTTACACAGGTGTAAAACAAAAATACATTTCGTTTGGAACAGCTCACTGGACAACTTCATCTTTTTTAAAAAGCAGCCTTGAAAAATAGTAAAAATGTACAGTTCTAACTTTTTTCTTTTAAGTAATTGTTAATCTATGAAAAGTTAAAACATTTTGAGAGCATTACTGCTGCCACTTTCAGTATTATGGGGGGAAAATGGTAGGGGTGGCAAATTATTGGCTAAGAGTGGTCATGGCCACCCCTGGCCCCCCCTTTAGCTCCGCCCCTGGCGCAACATTGGCTTTTTGGCTCAATTAATGTGCTATAAAACGTGCTCCTGCTGTCATTTTTATTTTAGATTTTTATTATGTGCGTGGAAAGGCCCCGCCCTGTCCTACACATAATAGTATGGTCCTACTACCTGGTAAACGTTGTCTGGTAGAGCAAAGTCTGAATTCCCTTCGATCGGTGCACTTCTATCTGGTCTGGATCTGACTGCGCGTGCTCCGTTGCCATGGTGAGGAACTGGACAACAAGTGCAGGGCTGATCGGCGTCAGTGGTGCGCGTGAACAAAATCCCTCAACGATAACCGATAACAACAACTCAGTTGGAAGAGGTAAACGCGGCTGTTAGGTACACTTTTCGCATCTGCGGGGTTTTAGAAAATAAAAATAGCTCTTTGTTTCTCTTAATCCATAGACAGAAGAAGAAGAAAAGAGTGTATGATGGTTAGCTTGCTTTAAAGAGAGCAAACAATGGCTGTGGTTTACGTTTAGCCGTAGAAAGCTGTTCCTTTACATCCCTATATGTTACTGTTTTTTAATATCGGTTTTATTTGTTTACATGTTAACCTTTATTCAGCCTTTAATCCACTTAGAAACTGTAATCAATTACCCTAATCGTCAGATTTAGTTACAAACCAAACATAATCACACTGCAAAAACAATCTAGAAATAAGTAAAAAAATTATTACATTAAGTCTTTTTACCATTAATTCGAGTAGGCAAATAAGATGATTTGCCAATGGTATGAGTATTTTTACTCTTAAAATAAGATAATTAGATTATATGCTCTTGAAATAAGACAATGCAATTGTGTAAATTGTCTTGTTCCATTGGAAAAGTGTCTCACTCACCTCCTCAATTCAAAATCAAATGCACTTAATAAAAAAAAAAAAAAAGACTTATCTAGATTTGGATTTTTTTCTAGTGCAGTAACATGTTTTATCCTAGTCATTGTAGATGTATCTATCTGGAAATATGTAAAGAATACAGTTATTGTTAGGTAAAGAAATCGGCAATCGTCCGTTTTATTTGAATGTTTCTTAACTGAAACTGTATTTCTTACAGCGGTTTCTGTCCTTTCAGATGTGTGAGGGACCTTCTAAAATATCTGGGCCAATCCCCCCAGATCCTTCTCTATTTCCGCAGTACTACAGACGACCTGTTTCAGGTACTGTAGGATGTCATCTCAAATTTATGCTCATTGGATCTTTTCATCATTATTTGAACATTTTCATTACTGTAAAGATGGATGATTTAGCAGGAATGACTTTTTTCTAGGTAGAAATATCAAAGGCAATGCTGGTTTGAAGTTAGTATGGACTGACTTGCAGGTGCTTTGATAAACAAGACAGTGTTCACTCTCCTTGAATTTCTTACATTTTGTCACATCACCAAAACGTTCAATGTATGTTGTTCATTAATTTATGCAAAGAAGCCCAATAATGTAAGTAAATATGATGTATGATTTCTTTTTTAAAGATAAACATTTGACACCTATGCATGTCTTTAAGTGTTAGAAACCTAAGGTGATTTTTTGGAAATAGCTCAAACTTAGTCGTGTTGAAGGGACAGCATCTGTTTAATCAAGTTTGAAGAAAAAAAAAAAAAAAGACACAATAACTTTAAACTTATAGTCTCACCTCCTCCAGCTCGAGGTCGTTTGGAAGGAAACCATGATGGGACCCTGGCCTTTCTCCTGGGTCCACTTTCTCCAGACCCAGTCTTGAACCCGGACAGCTACAGTACTCGAACCCCGAGCTGCCGCCCTCGTATTGGCCCAAATGCCACTCATATTCTTGAGCGTGGTCAGAAAGGGGTTGTGGGAGAACTACTAAGACTGGACCAGTTTTCTGCAACTCCTGTTCCCAAGCAGAGTAAGAGAAATATAGTAGCCTAGCTTTATCAATCTAATTCAACTGTGTAAACTTGTAATATTAATATCTTAGTTATGTTAACATGTAAAACTGTAAATAAAGTATATGGAGCAATGGTCTAAAACTCCAATCCTCTAGGACAGGTGTCCTGCAGCCTGTAGATGTTTCCCCGCCAATATACACCTGAACTAAATGGCTAAACTCTCTTTTTAGCAAGCAGCTGTGCTCTATGTAGATGTGCTAATAATGTTGAAGCAGAGACAAAAGTTGCAGGACATAGACCGAAGAGCCTTAGACCAGTGCTTTAGTGTATTAAACTGTATTAAGACAGATTTTGTTGCTTGTCCTCGTAGAAAAGAAAGTACATGACTTTGGTAAAGAGAACGTACGTCGACTCCGTGAGATCCAGAAACGCTGCAAAGAGCAGGAAGCTGAGAGAATCCAGACCCGTTCTATCCCAGTCAAAGCTCTATGGACCTCCACAAAATACCAAAACGTCCCTTCCAGGTTTATGGCACAGTTAGAGGCAAGGATTACATCTTCTCCCTGAGGTCTGAGCAAATCTTATTTTCCTTATTATGTTTGAACCTGCATTTACTTCACCTAGGTTTCTAGTCCATCAGTTAAGCCTCAGTGTCAAAAGTTCCTGAGGGCCCACTCTAAAGCAGGCTCTCCTACACTACCAAGACCTTCGACTGTGGCTTTGCAGCGCTCAGCCTCTTCCAGTTCTACACAGGACCATGACTTAATGGTAAGGTTTCACAAAGTTATTACCATACAGTCATGAAGTCAGTTTTTTTTTTTATGATGTCCTTTAATTAAAACCGTCTGAAAAAATTTTTTTCCTTGAAAATAACTCAGTAGGAGAGGTTAAAAAGAAGTTGATTGCAATGAGAAGATGTAGCTAGATTGATGTTTGTTGCATTATCTGCTTTTTAAAATGATGTTTTCAGGTGCGGGGTCAGACAATAGACTTTGTGAAGCATAATGCCCGGGCAGCTGGAAAAACCAACATTCGTCGTTCACAGTCACTGACAAACCTCAAGGATAAACCCGTCCCAAGCGCAGTTAAAGGCCAGGTCCCTCTGTAGTGAGTATTTCAACGCCATAGTTTAACCTTCTTATAACCTGCTGTCACATAACTTATTGTAAATTACTTATGTTACATTAACTTTGTACTATTTTTACCTAATGAACATGAAAGTGTGGACTTTTTTTAACGAGATCTTTTATCAGCATTGCTTTTTATTACTGTACTTGTCATTTCCCCAATTTACTATTTTGAAGTTCTGTTAATTTGATTCTTAGCTTTTTTGTAAACCAGGCTGAATTAAACTTACCATGCGTCCTTTATCCACCTTTTGTTATTTTCTTTGTCATAGTCATTATGGAGGACAGCAGGCCTGTTGCAATAAACAACAAATCAGTCATTTTTATGATGGATTTAAATAAGCTTGAGGATTTCGGTTTGCATGCTTCTCCTTCCTCTAACCGGATCGGATGACAAAATGTTTCACTTCAGTGCATCAGTCTCCACTAACCATTTCATGCTGCCCCTTAACAGATGAGTAGCAGGAGACAGAAAGCTTGAGAGTTTGAAAAAACGAATTTAAGTGGTTTCAAAGCTGAATGCAACAGTTGAAGTTTGGACGCACTATGGATTTAAACTGAATGACTGTGGCATTAAAACCAACATCTATCTGCACCTAAAACATAATCATCCAATGCAGTTTTCCAAGCTGGGGAAAGAAATTAGAACCTCTGATGACATCTTGACCTTGGTAGTCCAGGGTCCCTCAAGCATTTTTATAAAAAAAAAAAATAATACAAAATTGCATTGCAAAACTAGATGCCACCCATTGATACTGGAGAAAAGCTGTTTTTTTTTTTTTTAGATGTTGCAAACATTTGACTCCCAGCATTGCTCGCCTGTGAAAACATTCCTTGTATATGGCCCACTGAGACATCTGCTCTTACTGAAATCTGCTCTTTTTATTTTTGGCACTTTTTGTTCATAAAACTTTGGAATTTTTCTCTTTTTGAGCCAAATGACTAATAATATTTAAGGGTTTACAGAAACTTCATAATCCTTTTTCTTAGGCAAAATGTCTCAGGGGCTCATATTATATGAGGGTCGGTCAGTTTGCCCAAAAGGCGAGTAGAACCAAAACAAATTCTAATTAGGGATACTACAAATTTCTTTCAAAATGATTTATTAGTTTAATGAACATGACGTTTCTGTTTTTTACTACTAATTTACTGCCATGTAGTTTTCCTTTACGCTGTGGCCTCATTCTTGGTCAGCTTCAGGGATGGCTGTAAAGTCAGTGGCTTGAACCCAGTCAACCGAGTTTCCTTGATTGAAAATGTTTTACTCATTTTCATGATGAACTGAGCCCAACTTTACTATGTTACAACTGATGGTCGGATTAATTACAGTTGATAAGTCTGTTGATACATGTAAATAGTTCTGTGGTTACATTTTTTGTAAATTGGCACAATATAGATAAAATGAACTGAATCATTAATGAAAACGATGAACTTCGTGTCAAACCCAGACTGATGTGCAACTGTCTGAAAATGTTGCTTTGAAATAGGAAGAAATTAAACAGGTTCTTATATTGGGTTCACGTTGGTAAAGCGGTAATTTAACCAGAAGCTTTTCTCTACTGTTTCACTGCCGTTAAAATGCAGTCTTGAGGAAAGAAAGCAGCAATGGCGCAAAGAGGAGGAAGAAAGGAAGAGGAACGCACCTGACCCTTCCATCCCAGCGGGTCACTCATTGATGCCTGAAAGCGAGAGGCAGGAGAAACTCAAGTCCCTGAAAGACAGTAGGTCTTCTTTAAATAAACAGATCTACTGTTACCATCAGGCGGAGTGTATGCAGAAGTTCTAACATTGCAAATTCTGTTCTTCATCTCTTTCCCTTAGCCCACCGCTCATTAGTAACCGAGCTGCTCTCCCTCCCCTTAAAGACGGACAGTCTCCGTGTTCGGACACGCCGGGCTCAGCTGGATTATACGCTCTCTGAGATTGAAGAGGCCATAAAAATTTTCTCCAGGGATAAGGTTTATGTCAAACTTGATTCCTAACACACAACGAGACCTTATAAAAGAAGACAAATTTTGTTATTATATTGTTGTGGAGGAGTTTTTTTAGACAAAGAACATATTTTCTAAAGTGATATTATGAAGATGAATTTTTGAAGTTGCGTGAAGTCATCAGCGCTCACATAAAACTATTTCTGAAGTGATATGCTATTGCTTGTGTATGAATGAAGATCTTTAGTGGATCATAAATGTGTAACCATACCTGTGAAAATTCTAGGATTTTATTACCGTACTAAAATAAAAAGGTGATCCACAATGAACAACTTACAAACCTTTTCAAAACAATAAAGTGACATTTATCCTCTAGATTCCAACAGCCTTAAGAGAGAATATGAGAAATAAAAAACCAGGAACCATTGAGTTGTAGAAGCGTACAAACTGTAACGTTTGTTGAACCACCTTTGATGTAATTTCAGTATTCAGTCTTCTTTTACAGGACTCGGTCGTCGTCGTAAATTATGGCTTAAACGAAGGGTCCAAAAGAGAAACTGCCTGGAAATGTCTACAGGGTCAGCTGAAGTGTATTTGAGATTAATCAGATTCCTTAAGATGGCTAAGGAAACTAAATGCTGTAATTAAATTGGAAGGTACATCAACAAAGCATTAGCTCAAGACTGTGCATTCTTATGCAATTAGTTTATTGCTGGTTCTTTACCAGTAGTTTTAGTTTTATTATTTTATTTTATGTGATATATATTGAAATTGTATGTATGTACAAAATGTTTTAAAGGTATTTATCAAAGTCTATTTCTATGCTTTAATTTTAAATTGTGCTTTTTTCAAAACAGATGTGCCCACTTTTAAGAGCATCTTTAAATGTAAGGTCAAGTTGAAATAAAAATTCACAAATTTTTTTTGCTGTCATTTGACCTATTTTTCTTTTTGATTACTATAACTGTTTTGCTGTATAAATTAAGTTTGTTCACTTTTACAGGTTATTAAGAGGATTTCACACTAAAACATGTCATATCTCTCAATCCTTTTGTTTTGTCACCAGAAAATTGAGAAAAAAGGGAGAAACAGCATTATTTAATGTTGTAAATCAAAACAAGTGCAAACAACAACAAATTAAAAAAATCTGTGGGCTGAAAGACCTGACAGTCACAACCAAAAAAAAAAGCCCAGGGCAACGTTTGTGTATCAAAAGTAAAACTTCAGCATGGAGATTTGACTAGTGACCACTGTACCATTTACATAAGAGGAATCATAATCTTTAAATCAAAATGTCCAGATTATTGTCCACATTACTATTGAGGTGCCCTCACCACCTTCATCCTACCCCCATAGTAAATGAAATACACACATGCAGTCAAATATGCATAAGAATATATTGCAAATAAAAAACATCTGTCAAGATAGAATACAGCTTGGCAACAGTAAAGTAGGTGAAACACTAACCAAGTTGCATGTAATGAGTGATATTGTAGAAATTTTCCCCATTTTTTCATTGTACTTGTCCATCTTATTCATTAGACTGTATTATATTTTCTTAAAAGCTGCCACCATTCCCAGTTCTGAGATCCAATCCTGAAATAATGGGACTTCAGCATCTTTCCACTTTCTCATTATTATCTGTTTGCCAATCAGGATGCTTGTTTGGACCCTGTTAGCCTGGGGTTGTTGTTTTTTTTCCCCCCTAGTATAGTCAGTCCTTGCTAACTCCAAAATATACATAAGGATCCAAGTCCAAAAAGCTCTTACCTTTTGGGATGACCACAGTGCATGAATTAAGTCCCCTAACAGCCAGTTACACCTCCAGCATCTGCAGACCCTAGTCTAAGCAGTCTGCTGGGGTACCAGTAGTAACCATGAAAAATCTTGAACTGTATTATTCTTATTCTGATAACTCTGGAGACACGTTTAGTAATATTAATATTACCCAAAGCACCCAAATCTTTTTCCCATGTTGCTTTCAGAGCTTTGATGATATCATGGCCAGAAGTGTTTAAAAGAATAAAATAAATCTTGGAAGCCTCATGTCCTGTTTCAGCAATGCTTAAGATTGAGTTGAAAAGGTCCAGGTCCTGGGGTGAGGTTTGAGGTGAGTCAAAGATGGTGACCAGGAGATGTCTTAATTGAGGGAACCTCCAAAATTTATTATTGGACAGACCTAACTGCTCAATGAAGTTGCCAAAAGGCTAAGATAATCCTCCTTCGTATAAATTAATGTTTTTCTTTTGGAGTAAAAAAGCGCCTTGTCTCTTCAACGTTTTTATCAGTCTTAGATTATTAGCACTATTTTATAAGAATGCTTCTTCTTTATGTCTTCAAAAGTTGGACTCTGTTTACCACGCTTCATTAAGGTTCATCACAAACTGTAGAGCCATGACACATCACTGTGACCTGCACTCTCAGGTGGGATGACCTTCCCTCTCTACGAGAAGGCAGTGTCATTGGTACACTTTTATTTACAAGGCCCTCCTTGGATTACTGCCTTCTTATATTTGTACCTAACTTACACAGAAAAGCATGGCTTCTTATGCCATGAGATCAACGATCAGCTGTTGCTCACTATTCCTTTTCCCTGCACAGAACTAGGGAAGAAAGCCTTTAGCTATGCAGCTCCTTCTGCGTGGAATTTTTTTCCAAGAAACTGGAAGTTTTTATCTTTAAATGCTTTTAAGTTGAAACTGAAAGAATTTGAAGCAGCCTCAATGATTTGTAATTGTTTTACTTGATATTTTTTTATGTACCTGTCATTTAATTTAACGCATCTCTGTTTTTTATGTAACTTTGCTGCTTCTTGGCCAGGACTCTCTTGAAAAAGAGGTTTTTAATCTCAATGTTTTTTGTGTTTTTTTCCTGGTTAAATAAAGGTTAAAGAAAAAAATGTTTAAAATAAAAAGACTCAGAGTAAGTATCCCTTTATTCACCGACTTTTTTTTTTCCAGAATAGGGTTGTTCCAAATTCCAGAAGTCAGTGAAATATGAGTTTATCTTAAATAGACATTTTTCTCCAGATTTCCTGTATATGTGATATGATAGGATGAGATTGAGCATTTGATGGCATTCTGGCAGACAAGAGCAATGGGGTAACGATGTGTAAAATTACTATTCTATGAAGTACCATAGAGGAGCTTTTTCAGGGATATGTGTACAATGTGCCATGTTTCTTAAGCTAAAGGCAAAATAGTAAGCAGCATATTTAGAAGACCCTTACCACCTTTTTCTGTTGGTTTTTATAGTTTTTATTTTTCTATTTGTTTTTGCCGTTCTAAAATAACTTTTTACAAAGTGCTTCAAATTGTTTAAAGTATTTGGTGGGGATACCCAAGGGGAGGGATTGAAGAATGTATTTTTTTCTGGGTGCACAAACGACCTACTTTCTGATTTTTGCTCAAACATGAAATGAGAGTCATCAATGATTAGGGCATACATGACTTAATTAAATACTTCAAAATTCATTAGCATACTACTGGCAAATGTGATTTCTGTGGAAAATATGAAACAATAGAACATGTTATACTGGAATGTCATAAATATGAAAGCGAGAGAAGATATATTAAGAGACACTTTGAATGTATTAAGGAAAAGATTAATTTAGTAGATATTTTGAGGAAGAATTTGGGGAGTAAACATATACAAATAATTATTCGATTTTTAAAGCAAAACTAAATTATTTCATAGAATTTTATTATAGAGCCTTATTCTGGCTTTGATGTTGCACTTCCACAGAAACACGGCATCAAGTTGAAGTCCTTCCTGCAATCTGTCTCAAAGGGACAGGTAAATGGCCAGAAGAAGAGAGTCATCAATGACGTGATACGCATTTTACGTAGCATGGGACGTTATTGTTCAGCGTGAGCGTATTCTGCTAAAGTGTTAGCAAGGTGCTTGCTAATAGTCCTAACAATTGAAATAAATATTCAGTTTAGTCGTATAATAGAGCCGATTGGCTTTCAGGTGCACCTTGTTTTTTCCTGTAGTCTGCTATGAGCAAGAGGAAAGCACCACAGGAGTCCCTAAATGAGGGAATAACAGACTTTCTTGTTGGTACGTGACGATTAGTCCAGTCAGCAGTTAGCCTGACAGTGGCTATTTTTCTTTAGCGTACAAACTCCATTACAATAAAAATATATTAGTATATACTAATAAAAAAAATTCATACATATTATTTTCTGTTAAGTTTGAAGCATGTGGTTTTCTATTTGGTACACTTTCTGATACACGACGTGGTTTAAATGGCTGCTTCTGCTCTATGGTTTTAAAATTAAATGGTTCATGATTCTACGCCTTAAAGTTGCTTCTGCTTTCAGAGCTGGCCAACTACGAGAAAAATGTCAACAGAGCAATACACAAGTACAATGCATACAGGTGAGTTATAAAAAGGCGTGTTTTTTTTTTAAAGACTGAAAGAATGCATTCATTTGTAGTACTAGGTTAGTGCATTAGGGGCTGCTTTGGCCCCCAGTACAGCCAAATAAAACCTCTGCAAAAAAGACATATTTGGAAAAAAGCCAGATGGTATTCCAACCTACTGACCAAAAAGGAAATCTGAAAACATTTTATTTATGGGGTGTATGGAAGTATGTTTTTAATAACTTTCACTTAGACAAAAGAAAACATTTTAGAAGGCATCAAGTGATCATAACTTGTATTTGTGCCTCATCTGTCTCTTATTTGTTATCAAAGAGTTTAGAAATGGTTTTAAGTCATTCTGTTTGAATATGACTTTTTAAAAGTCTTTTACAAAATGAGCTGAAGGAGATTAAACCCTGAAGATACAAAAGAGTTCCCTCCAGCTGCCTTTTTGTATCTTCCAACTTAAAGGTGCTTACTTGCTGTATGTTGTACATTAATTTTGTCTTTGTGTCTTTAATGTGGATAGGAAAGCAGCATCCACCATTGCAAAGTATCCTAACAAGATTAAAAGTGGAGAAGAAGCCAAGAAACTGGTATGTGCTCAATTAATTTTCCAAATTGTTCCTTGTTGCTGTTGATAATAAATTAAAAAGGAAATAATGTGTTACGTCATTGGACTATTGTATAGTGTGATATATTGTCATCAGGAGTTTGCTCATATCTGCCAAATACTCTTGCAAAAATAAAAGAAAAACTCAAGCTTGGGTATTTACCAAACATTAAAAAACGACATGAAGTTGATATATAGATTAAACTGAATATGCGCAGCACCAGCATTTATACACCCATCAAACATTTAAAAATGATCACCATGTGGAATGAACATATGAAAAATAGAATACAATCGAATATCTTTTCATTGTCCCACAATGGGGAAATTGTGGTCACACCAATGTGAACAATAAAAAGTGTATAAAAATAACAGAATAAGTGACAGAGTTAAAAAAAGAATAAAGGTAAAGATGTTTCTTCAACACTGGTTGTAAACTTATAACCAACAACCAACAAAAACATGTTTGTGTCTGATGTTGATAGCCCTTCTCCTTTAGCTGAATGACATCCGTATCGCAGAAATACTTTGTAGTGGTAAACATGCTTGTGCTGCTGAACAATTGGGTGTTGTTGTTTTTTTTTAAATCCTCTAAGTGTTTTTTTTTTTCTAAACCTTTCTGTATATATTTGAATATACATATCAATATTCATACCCTGTTATGTTTGCTTTTACGCTTCAACAGGATGGAGTTGGTGCTAAAATAGCTGAAAAGATTGATGAGTTCTTGCAGACTGGCAAACTACGAAAACTGGAAAAGGTTGGTCTGGTTGTTTGGGGAATATGTCACTCCTTTTAACTGTAAATAAATGCCAAAGTTACTAATTAATACATCAGCATGCTTGCGTGGGTCATATAGGCTTGGTATTTGTAACATAACTCTACCAGCAGAGGCCCCTGCTCTCAGGGTACAATATATTTGTATGTTTCACTATTCAGCCCCAAGACTCACTGATACTTATTTTTTTCTAGATCCGAAATGATGACACCAGCTCCTCCATAAATTTCCTCACTAGAGTCACTGGAATTGGGTTAGTTTGTTACCAAATATAGTGTTTAGTATGACTTTAATGCTGTATTTTATTATATAATTAAGCAAATCTCCATGGTCTTCAATTTTAGGCCTGCTGCTGCCAGAAAGTTTTTTGAAGAAGGGGTCAAGACATTGGATGGTTTGTATCACTCATACCAGATCTCATTATTCTCTTCAAACAGTTAAATTTCCATGAATAATGTTAAACCTATCCTAGAGATCTCTGTATGTTTAAAGGTTTGTTGCAGTGGACATTTAAATGTTTTTAAGATCATCTGAATTTCCTTTTTAGATTTGAAGAAGGTAGAGCACAAATTAAATCATCACCAAAAGATTGGACTCAAGTAAGTTAATCTGAATCATTAGGTTTGATATTTGCATCTTAAAACTTGAACTTGCCTTTTTTTTTTTTTTTTAAGAGTGTACAGTGTTTATAATATTATGGTTTACTGTGCTGAATGTAGGTACTTTGAAGAATTTGAGAAAAGGATCCCAAGAGCTGAAATGGAAAAGATGGAGGTGTTTATGTTTTTCAGAATTTCTTATGTCTTTTTATAAATAATTTTATTTGTGCTGTTGTAAACCATAATCTTATGGTTGTTTTTGTTGTTGGTTAAGACTCTTATTCTGAAGGAATTGAAGAAAATTGATCCAGAATATATCGGAACAATTTGTGGAAGTTATAGAAGAGGTAATTCCCTCTAATTAATAAAATTTGGTCTTTTGTTTCGAAGCAGTTTGTTGTTGCTTTTTTTTAAAATGTTTATAATTTCCAGGTGCTGCATCGAGTGGTGATATTGATATTTTGCTGACTCATCCGAATTACACTTCTCAAACAGAGAAGCAGGTAAGAACTGCACATAAATTGCTCCTTCCTTGGTCTAAAGTAAAAACGTATATATACATAAGTATGTAAGAACTGCACCTGTTCAGAAAAAATTTTCTCTGTTCGCAGCCTAAGCTTCTTCATGCTGTGGTCGATCATTTGGAGTCCATTGGGTTTGTGACCGACACTCTGTCCAAAGGAGACACCAAGTTCATGGTGAGGTCCCTGTTCTTTGTTTTTCTCTCCTATATGTAGTCAGCTGTATGGATCCCCATTCAATTCAAATCCAGTTCAAAACTACTTTATTGATCCCAAAGTTAAATTAAATTTGATGTTGATATTTGTAACATAGTTATGCAATCCGTGATATGCAGCCATCCTATTTAGGGTTCGACTTGTCGAAATGTACTTCCTGTTTGTTTAGGGAGTCTGCCAGCTGCAGGAAAATGAAGATGAGGATGAGGAAGAGGAAGAACATCTTCACAGGCGCATTGATATTAGGTAATATTTTTACCAAAAAATATCATATCTGTTAAGCTTAAAACAACTTTTCTACAGCACAATTGCATTTCAGACTTTTAACAATGCATTCAGGTTGGACTGATGATGCATAAAATAATTTAAATGAATTTAGATATTGAGAACCAGTAAGAAATTGTGTGTTTTCTGTAATATACACTGAATCTGAATCCAAACAAGTTTCATCACACAATATACATACACCTTGCCCTACTTTAACAGGATGCAAAAAAAATCACATTTGTGGCTATTAACAATCCTCAGGCAATACATTTTAAATAGAATATATTTGGAATATGGTTGTGCTATTGAAACACACAACTGTCTATGTTTTCATTTAGTTTACAAAGTTGCTGCTCCCTACTTGGATAAGCCCGTATGGTTTGTGGATTAAAAAAGAAAAAGTATGCTCAGAGGTGTGAGACATTGCCCTTTAGGGTAAGAATATCAGGCATTATGTTGGGATCATCATGCCTAGGTTCTTTCATACCTTTCCTATCGCTGTGTTACTTACAGTGGATGGAAAGATTAACATAACTACCTTCCAAATTCTTCCACTTCACCTCAAATCCATAACTTGGAAGAAACATAAACAGTTTATTGTTACGAAACAAAAAGTATCCCCGAAAAAGATCCGAACTGCTTTTGAAATAAATAAAGCAGGCTTAGACTGTGGCCAATTATTTCAAATTATATTTGAACTGTGGTTATAAAACCTGTTACATGTCAGGAAAAACCAACAGATGTGAATGAATTTGTTTATTCAAAATTCTTATATTCTTGGATTTATGTTGACTGTATGTTTGCTTGTCATTGTTTATAACTACTTCACCAAAACAAATTCCTCGTATGAGTAAAAAACACTCCTTGGCAACAAAGCATTTCTTTATAGTAATTGTCTTACTATGATGATTATAACAATGAAAACATACAGTAATAAATCAGTGGAGGAACCTCTTACCTTTTAATTTACTTAACAGACCTTGTCTTTTATGACATTTATATATATTGCGGAACTTTTGCACTTGAACTTCCGTGTTGAATTAAATAAATCGTATTTTCATCATTTTAACCAAAATTGGCCTTTTTATGTTCCAAGGTTAATTCCTAAGGATCAGTACTACTGTGGAGTTCTGTATTTCACTGGAAGTGACATCTTTAATAAGAACATGAGGACTCATGCGCTGGAGAAGGGCTTCACTCTGAATGAGTATACCATCAGACCACTTGGTGTCACTGGTCAGTCTGACAACAGCACCTATATAGGCTTTCTGTTTCACTCCAGCCAAGAGCCATTTACTGATTTCTAATAATGTTTTCATTGCAGGTATTGCAGGAGAGCCTTTGTTGGTGGATAGTGAGAGAGACATCTTTGATTACATCCAGTACAGATACAGGGAACCTAAGGATCGCAGCGAGTGAAGAAAATCTAAAGTGGTTCTGCAAACATGAATTACAAAAAAAGGATCTTGTTTGTTTTTTTTTTTTACTCTTTTACCACTTTTACTATTCACTCATTACGCTGAAAAAGAGCAATAATGGAAAGATTTATTTCTTAGAGTTGGATCTTTTTCTTAACTTAAATTGAAGTGATCTTCACATCCTGGTCTTGGTATTTATTTATGCTTCACCGTCCTGTCCTATGGAAGTACTTCTGCTGTATTTTGGGGCTTTACTTCATATCAGCTATAGTTTTATGTCCCTCATTTTCAGACTGTTTATTGTAAACCTAAAAGGGGAGTTACATTTTTATATATAAAAAAAAAACACTTCTAAGTGGATTGTCTTTGTTACATTTTTGTTTGATTCGTTTATATGCATGTTTTTGCATTTCATTATGGCCTTTTATAAGTGTTTTAGTTTGAAGTTCTTTAGATTAGGGACCTTGAAAATGTTACAGCATCATGCTCTGTAATTGATTATTGGACTAGGCTCTTGATTATAGATAGTTTCAAGAAGCCGCTGAGTGGGTCTATTTATATAATTTGAATATGGTGAACTGTAGTTTATTCAATCTATTATAAGTGATTAAAAAACCTCAACACACATCATTTCGGATTATGGCAAAATGTGATATTTTTCCAGGAAATGGGCAGCAGATGGACATGAAATAATAATTTAGGGTTGCCTTTAGTTTGTGTTGGGATCTCTAAAAAATATGTTGAATGTTACTGATGAAGAAAATGGGATGTCTGAAGCATTGCTTATTGTCAGTCACTCATTTAGAATAGAATAATCCTTTGGGTGTTTGTTAAATAATAATGCTGGGTAATTGTTTGCGAAATAAACAATAAATCCAAACAGTTGTATTTTCCATTTACTACATTTTTTATCATGAAGGTTCCACTTTGTGCTCTTGACCTCAAACCTCCAACATTGGTCTTAAGTATTAATATATTCTAGTGTTTGCTACCAGGTCCCCACAGAGCTGTATGGCATGAGGAAATTCAGCCATTTGTTTCAAGTGATTTGCAGATGTCTGTAACCTCCATCCTTTCTGTGGAAGTGTTATACTATTTCTATGCTAAGCAGGAAATGTATACACTGCTAAGCTAAAGTAAAAAATGTGATTTGGGTATTTGGATGACTAAGATGACTACTATTTTTTTCCATTGTAAACAAAGTAATCTCTGAAGATAAAATCTCCCACCACTGCTTTTTATTCCAATATAATAGAGATGCACGTAAAAGTCTAATTTATTCATCCAAGAATAATCCAATTATTTTGTAATCTCAATTTTATCCATGCATCCAGTTAAATCATCCATCCATAAATCAATTCTCATTCACCAATTTTTCAAACAGTTCTAAGTCTTTGTTCCCATTCATCCATCAACCTGTTTCATCCATGAATTTATTTACCTGTCAATCTATTATTTAACTGTCCATCTATCGATCTCATTTTAGCTGAACTTTCTGCCATTCAGTAAGGTTTCATTGATTCTTTAGTAATTTTCTGAGATTATTTAAAGCCTGAGATAAAAGAATGGAAAGTACTGAAATTTAACCTGTAAAAACCTCTGTAAAAATTACATTGAACCCTAAAATGAAAAATTTCAATGTAATTCTAAATTGGTGTATTTTATTTACAGACCATGCAGAACTGAAAAGTAATAGCTTTTTTTTTTCTCAAAATATCCCGTTTTGAATCTATGTAATTATATCAATCTATGTAATTACACATTTTTACATAACCAAAATTACAATTAGGGTAAAACTGGATCTACAGTACGTAACTGTATTGGAATAACAATTTAGCAATTAGCCTCAGCTGCATCTTAACACACAATTATTTACACAAGTCTCCCTGGTAACGGTTTTTCGCAGTGCATGACGGGTTGAAATAAAATGCTACGAGAAACTCCACAAGTATTATGTTAAATAGACCAATGAAGGCGCTTTGAGCGTTAACGGTAACCAATCGGAGGAGCCCAAGCTAGCAGAATGCAACTGCCACACACCCACATCACTTTTGTGTCAACCACTTCGCGGGAGTTGTCGCTCCAGGAGCAATCTGACACCATACAATCAACCATTTAGCACCATTCATCGCTTGATACGTTCCAACTAAAGGTAGGCTGACTATTAATGCACATACATTTATGTAAGTCACTTTTTTATATATATATATGTGAAATTTTTGTTCCATGTGATCGCAGTTATATATATTTGTCGTATTAAGCACTATCGTGCTTTTAGCTAATTAATGACATCATTGATTGCTAGAGTCTAGCGCATAGATTTTTAGATGAAAAACATGTTTCCCTTAAACATATAAAAAAGATTTTAAAATGTATGTGCCGTCCACATTATAAATAAATAGAGGGGAGTTTTCAGCGGTTGCTATTTTATTTTTATAGGATCGCTGTAGTTATTGTCTTAGTGTTTTTTTTTTTTTTATCAGATTCTATGTAAAAAAAAAAAATGCAAACGGTAATTTTAAATGTCCGAGTATCCATAGAAACTACGCAGAGCGCACGTTCAGCTCCCTGCCATTTGATGGAAGTTATGTAACACTTGTAGAAATGGCTCGATCAAACATTATGTAATAATGTCGTCCCAGAATAGACCTTTTTTTTTTTCATTTCTTATAATCTCTTTGCATTTCCTACTTAAATTTGTTGGATGCTGCTGCTGATCAGTGTTGGTACTTCAGGCGCAATACTCGGTCACATTAAACGTGTGTGAGTCAATGCCCTCACGAGGATGATAAATGATACGCTGTGTTTTGGTTACTCAGGGCAACGCCATGTCTGACAGAAAGTCAGTGATAAAGAACGCCGACATGTCGGAGGACATGCAGCAGGACGCCGTGGAGTGTGCCACACAGGCCCTGGAAAAGTATAACATCGAGAAAGACATTGCAGCTTTCATTAAAAAGGTAAAACACCAATGAAGCATCTTATCTAAAAACAAATCTACATACAATTTCTAAAAAAAAACATCTAAGTATTCTAGTAGGAATTTTATGTTGTGTATATTTTTGTGCCTAGGGCTGAATTTGAGGATGAGGTTGGGTTAGAGACTGTTTTAGTGCCGAAACCATATTATTTATTTTGAAAACATGCAATTGCAGTAGGGTGATGCATACACACGTTTTTCATTTTCTAGTCAAAAATAATCATAATAATACATTCTTAATCACACAGTTGCATTGTAAATTTGGCACGCTTTAGTTATCCACTTGTATATTCCCCAGATTTAAAGCACTGCAAAGTCATAAACTCTCTCCTTTAAAGATGCTGTTTGCAAAATATCTTAAATTGGAAAAACACCCCATGTTACTTCTGCAGATTTCCATAACTGTTCCCACTAAGCCAGTTTGATATAAAGTAGAGGATTTTTAAACCATCCAGGGCTTCATTGTTGACCATCCAGTTTGATAATATAGGTTTCCCTTGAGGCAGCCTGTCCTTTAACACTGGCATCCTTGAATATTTCTTAAGTTGAATTTTCATCATGGTATTTCCTGTAGAGAGACAGTTTTTAAACAACTGTTGAGAACTTTGAAAAATTGCAGTCAGCTTAGTCATGTCACTTGAAAACTTTGCTTAAGAAAATGTAGAAGGGGAAATATCAAAGCTTTTTTTTTTATTATTATACTAACCGGCCCTCCAGGGTTCCTCCATGTTTTTTTTATATATATATATATAAATAAATCTTAGACACATTGAGCCACCACAAAGAGTCATAAATAATAATATATGACCAATCTGTAACTGAAAAAAAATAAACTCTTCAATTTTTACTTGTTTTAATCTTTTAAGCTTTTAATCTTGTTCCTCCTTTCCTTTTTTTTTTTTTTAATTAATGGTTAGTTTAGAAGTCGTCTTTTCTAGTATACGTATTTACCAAAACAAAACTGATATGTTTTTTTTTTTTTTTGAAGCCCTGTAAAATTAACTCTGTTCTGTTAAGTATTGGACAATTGTTCAGCACCATATTATTATCCTGCATTAATTTAACAAAGCTTTTTATTCTCCATCTTTGATTTATTACCCACCTTTGTTGCACTACCGAATTTTAATGTTTGGAGAAAGATTTAATGTAAGTAAACAGTGTCAAACAATAGAATAGGTTGGGTGTTTTACTCTAATTGTTCCACGTGTAGGAGTGCGGGTATCGGGCATATTTCCTATAATTATATCAACCTACAGTTAAATATTTAATGATGTGGCCTCTACATAGCTGTCAATTCATTTTGTAACAACTACTGAATTATTTAAGTCAAAAACCCTATTTCATGTATATTGATCAGAATATCTTTTATTCCCCACAGGAGTTTGACAAGAAATATAACCCTACGTGGCACTGCATCGTTGGGAGAAATTTTGGGAGTTACGTTACTCATGAGACCAAGCATTTCATTTACTTCTACCTGGGTCAGGTAGCCATCTTGCTGTTTAAGTCCGGCTGAGGGATGTCTGCATTTCCCCAAACCCCAACTGACCACACAATACTGACGGAGCTCACAAAAGGCACTTATCATTCCTTGGCGAAGGGCCGCTGCCTTTTTCTGTGCTGCATTCTGCTTTGTTGTTTTTGACTATAAGAATGGCCATGTTTAAGAGATGAAACACTTGTATTTATTTTTGTCTTGTTACTTTGGACATGTCAGTTTTTTAATTAAAGTTTAAATGTCAAGTGTTCTGTGTTCAATGCTTTGTTTATTTCACTGTTTTGGATAAAGCATCCACTCATTTTCCATGCACTTAAGCAATTTTACCGGTCCCACCATGGCAACCAGGAAAAGGAAGGCATTGTTAAAACATTCCTTGTTACTAGTTGGAGTTGGTTGAACAAATTATTACAGGGATAGCTTAGCTGAAGATTTCTTACCAAATTAATGTATGCATCATTTACTGGAGGTTTCTTCCCGTTAAAAGACTGGACGCAATCAACTGTTTTTAAGAAACCACCCTACTGTCGTCTCTGTAAAGCGCTGCAAGATGACATGTGAATTGGAGCTATATAAACAGAATTGAAAAGGCTAATGTTTAGAAAATGGAAGTTGATAAAAGACTCACTGATTAATAAACAGGCGAAGGACATGACCCCATAAAGGAAGAATAAATCTATTCTTCTAAAGCTGGTATCCCTCTTTTGCGCAATTTCAACTATAGGAGTGCTAAAGAAGTTTATTCTAGAAATGCTCATTGAATCAGTGGTTTGAGTTTTAAAGTACAATGTCTATTTGATTTCTGAAGTGTAATCACTACAAAATTAAGTTGTTTTGGCTGTTTGACAAGACACCATGTATCTGGGTAATTAAGTTTTGCATACCTCACAATGAATGTCATGTTAACTAGGGTGGAGGCTGACTAGCGTGGGGAATCTTTTCTTACAGAGTTGTAAAATATTAACTGAACAAATTTCCAGGATTTGTACTTAATCAGTGTATAAGAAGCACATTTTATATAGTTTTTCTTTTAATAAATCAATGTGAAAGTGAGCCCTAGATTAATGCAAGGAGTGATTTTTTTAGTAAAAACCCAGCACTAATCCTCAATCTAGCGCTAACATATTGTCTGGGTTCTTTTCAAGCTTGGTTTGTTATGACTACCTACAGCTGGTAGTTGGATGGGAAAAATATTTTCAAAATATCGGGTTTAAAAAAGGGAAATAGGACTTTTAAATGGAGACGGTTGATGTTGGGTAGAGCCATAATTGGGGTTTGCCAGTGGATTGTATTTTCTGCCATTGTTTAATTTGGCACATTAATGTGTCTATTTGACATTAAGGACTGGTTTGATTGAGGTGTGCCTTTATTAAAATGAGAACATTCAAATATTGTATTTCTCTTATTTGGCCTAGAAACATTTTCTGCTCTTTCCAGCTGCTCTGGGGCTCACTGACAGAAGCGGGACTGCCGTATTCCCTCTGACAACCATTAGTAGGCAATGCATGTGAAGTGTCGTGCCCAAGGACTAAACAATGAAAGTCACGACTTTCAACCCTCAGGTTGAAAGGCAAACATTGATGCCACTGTCGCCTTGAAGTATAATCACAAAAGCTATGGAAGTATTTTATTAAGGTGGAAAAGTGACTTGATGTTTAACAAAAGCCCTTCAAAGCAGAAAATGAGTTGAAGGTGGTACAGCTGTGTGATAGAGGTTGCATATGGAACAGAAGATAAAGAGTCAATAGATGTTGTAAGACGGTGGTAACTCTTTATTGACATTTAGAAAACCAGCTTGTGTGGGTAAACACCATTAGACAGGGCAAAGGCGGAGCGCAGGTATCCTTTGAGCTGAGGCTCCTTCTTAATGAGGGGAAGGATCTGAGCATCGACTGCCTTCTGGTCCTCCTTCCTCTGCTCTGTCAGCTGGTACTTCTGCAGATTAGAGATGATAACAGATTAGTCAATAAGAAAACAACCGAACTGTGGAAGCATAATGAGACCTTCAGTGAATTACCTCTTTTTCTGTGTCAAAGATCTCTCCCTCCTGGTGACGGGGCCTCCTTAGCTTCTTCTTCTTGAAGTAAGTGTCATTGAGGGTTTTGGGGAGCTTTACACCAGAGATGTCGATTTTGGTGGTGGTGGCGATGACAAATTTCTGGTGAGCCCTTCTCAGAGGGACTCTGTTCAAGGCTAGAGGGCCTATCAACGGGAAACAAAAGTTAGATCAAGCTTTTCTGAGCTGAATAACCTCTTCTAAAATATGCAACCTTACCGGTGACGAGCAGAAGACCACTTGAGAGCTGCTTCAGGAACACCACGCGCTGAAAAACAATTGTAACAGTATTTAATATCTTCTGCACTCAAGGTATGATGCATCAAAACACTCCACCACGTGCTACAAATATTCCCCCTAGGACCTCCAATATGTTTTTTTGAAGCAATAAACAAAGATCTACCATGTCAGCTGCATTGTAACAAATCTATAATATTTTTTCTCAGCCTGCTGAATAAATTCAAAACATTTTTAGGTAAGCTGCCTTCTCAAAGTGTGTGTGGGTAAGCTTGCTTCCATATCCTTGCCACAACAGGTGAGTGGGAGAGAAATCTTTACTGTTGCACTGAAGGTGTGAGATTAAAGCTGAATCTATTGACTGAGCCCCCAAAATGTTAAAGTAAAGCAGATTTACCAGGTTATTTTTCAACCTTTTACCATAAGGAATCACTGGGCTCAAACCCTAATACTTATCTGCACAATAAAACCATCAAATGTTTATTAAAACAAGAATTAACAGGATTTAAACAGCTAAGTTGATGTTTATAGACTTAACTTAAACTTTCTTCCCAATCTTAGAAAACTGTTATTTTCTTACAAATGGGATGAAGGTGTTCTCTATGGCTGTTTAAAATTAGATAACCTAGCAATCATAACAATAAAAAAGGTTATATTTAATCCAGTTACCCTTCAAACCCAAAATGAAACGGTTTTTACAAATAAAAGAGATTTTCCGTTCAGTTAAAATGAGAAAAACCACCAACTAATTGGACTATCTGCCCTTATTTTTTAAATTCCAACTTTTAGGCCCCGTCCACACGAAGTCAAAACGAACACGAAACGCTGATA